ATGAGAAGTCATGACAGATTATTAGAAATAAAACTTTACATCATGTAAATCTGATTAACATTTACTTTTGCTTTATTTTTACATCTAGATATATGAAGTCCAAGATGAAGACTGCTGTAACGTTTTCATTGAACTGAGTGTGAATCAATCACACAGAATATTCTGGCATTAGGGCATCAGGTGCAATTATAGTTCATCTCATTGAAGTATTTGGGACTCATAAAACTCAAAAAGAAAAGCCCTATGTATTGGTAGTAATCACCTTCCCTTCAACATTCCACCAGGAATGGAGCAGTCCTATATACTAAGAAAAGTAAACATCTGTTCTCCAAAGAAATGGGACTAACTGGGGAGACCCAAAATAAACGTTTGCTCTTGATGAAGCAAGCAAAGTAAGAATGGATAGAAGCTGGTGAAGCACTAAAAGAGGGACTTGGCTGTTAGGGAGGTGGTGTTCTTAGCGGAAATAGTAGCTAGACTAAAAGAATTATTGCCTAGTCAGTAGTTCATCACTTAGTACAGAGGCACTGCACGTATTGTTCTGACAATACAACTAAGTACAGTGTTACAAAATTACGCATTTCCTGTTTCAACCTGAAACCAGGCAGGCAGACGTATGTAAGAAAAGCACAGTTGGGAGATAGCAAGGGAAGCACTGCTAAGACAAAGAATAAGGACTGAACTCCTGAGACTTAGTATTCCCTGTCTCAAAACTGTGGGCAGAAAGAGTTCCTTTGATGTCTCTGGGTGAATAGCTATAGAGCAACTGACAGCTTAAATCTGAGAATGAATCAGATCAAGCAAAGTAAGTCACTGAAAGCTCTTTACCAGAAGCAAAGAAAGGAGTCAAATTAAAGCCTTTTAACACATATTTTTATTAAATTCAAGTTTTGTGACAAGGCAATGAAAATCTGAAGGTATGCCTATTGACTACAGGAGTGACATAGAACTAGAGAATAAAATCAAATGGTTCAGCAAAAAATTACTGTGCACTGACTTGATTTTTGATCACTGCCTTGAAACAGTGCACTGACTTTCAAAATACAGAGGTATATTAAATATTTAAGGAGCAAAGTTCTTATATGTCTACAACTGTTCAAAGAAAATATCCCTCCACGTTACACTGGTTTCACATGGAGTCAAGACTGAGTTAGTTAGTTACCTTAAAACACAGAAAAGCTAATAGAGATAGACTATCAGGGTTCTTCTTTTGAAATGCACTCCAAGATCAAACATCAAAACCCAAATCAATGCTAACAGGCAGTAACTTGAGGTTTCTTCATCATCTTCCGTTTTTTTTTAAGCATTTGACAAAGCTATTCACCACCAGTAGCTTTCTAAATATTAACTCAAATAAGTAATCACAGATGAACTCATTATTTTATTCTGTACACATTCATGACGCAGCCAAACATTTAAAATTATCTAAAATAACAACCATAACTCATGTGCATGAACAGCTCACAAAGAAGTATCTAAAGGGCTATAAAAATATGACAAAGTTACAAAGTTTTTAATAATCTGTTGTAATATTCAAAACATTTGTAAAAGGTGAAGCTTACCTAGAATATTGCATACACAATTCCTAGAAAAGCCTTAAATGTAAATTGTATGAAACTTTATTTTGCTCTTAACTTTGCATTTTTCCAATATTAGTTTGTAATAACTTGACAATTACACATTATTCATAGATATTTTGACAAAATGTATACTGAGAAACTAAATGCAAATATAGAATTCATTAAGCAGGTTTACACACAACATGGTTGTTACATACTTATTTTTTTTTCCACATATGAAGTACAGTTTAACATTCTTTTCTATATGAAAAAAGGAGTAAAAAGGAATAGCATATGAAGTAAGAATCCATTTCTTAACCAGACATTTTAGAGTTGGAAATCCCCCTTCTTTTTTTTTTTTTTCAAACAATATAATCAAGATCTTATTTTCTCTACATTTCTGAAACACAGAAGACTAACATATTCCTTTTTATTCTTTCGATTTTTTTCCTACTGCCAAGGCCCTCTTATTAGTGGGATTTACTGCATCCCTTCAGATAATGTGAAGTGGAAAACTTCCACAAAAAATAAATTTTCCTTTTGAATGTTCCTCCATTTCCAATCCCACATTAAAAAGATATTAATGTACACTTGTTAAGTCATATTCTCCTTGCTCAAAAAAAATCTCAAAACAAACATACAAAAGCCTACGGGGAGCTATCCATTTCTTATGTTAACTTACCCCATTCAAGCTGCCCAAATCCTTCACCAAGTGTTCATCTGTAGAAGCATCATAGTTAAGCACAGCATGTTGCTTGTCCACACTTCGTGACTAAAATATATTAAAAAAATTATATAAAATAAGGTATTTCAAAACCAGATCGAGATGGCATTAATGGCTATTTTTTAAAGTAGCATGATAATTTTCTTTCTACATAGCACATTTATTCAAATTATATTAAAAAAAAATAGTTCCACATATGAAAAAACACAACTTCTAACCATACCCAACACTGGCTCTGGGTGCCAAATGCAGAATCCTAAAATTAATTCAGAAGAATTATTTTCTTAATGTTTCTCCAAATGTGATTATAAGTCAGATCCAGACATATACAAAAATTGATTTTTTTTTTCAGATCAGCATAGTATCATTCTAACATCATGAACTTCATCTCTCTCTCTCTCAAAACATGAATAAGATTCTGGGGTACTGCTGCTCTCTCTGAAACACACCATTTCCTCTCATGCATCAGTAAATCTTCCATTGTGTTGACTGGGATACTTACCATAGTCTACAAGCATGGAAATTGTTTCTCCTTGATCTCAATTTCCTAAACAAATCAGCTATAGTCTCTTCACTAAATATCTGAGCAGTTCCTGAATTCCTACTCCCATCAGTTCTGACTGTCTTTTATCAGTCCTTCCTTATGCACTTCAGCATTTAATTAATTAATTAATTAATTCACATCCATGTCAACCCATATATCAGGAACAATCCTTGTTACTATTTCATCCAAGAACATCACCTCACTGACAGCTAAATCTCTCTTTTAGCACTTGCCTGTGGCCAAGTGTTTGCAGCCTGAGGTGCTGACTCCAAGTGAGGAAGAGGTGAGGCTGGATGTATGCTTTCTTTATGCATGCATGTGGTCAGCACCTTGATGTGCAGGAGAGCTCCCAATCAGATGCAGCTCAAAGCTCATCTTCCCCAGCTGTGTACACTCGATCTCAGTCTGTTTGCTGGTAATTCTGCTAGTGCAGTGTCCTGACATGACTGCAGAGCAGCAGATTTATTTCACAGCATTCTTTCCAGTTTCAGGTTTGCATCTTCTACCCTTGCTACTCAACTCATTGTTCAGGACTATATAGCACCAAGAGAGGTAAATTTCTGGCCAAGACTTCTGTGCTTATTTCTGTACCAGTACCTGCAGTCTGCCAGTTCTAGGAGTCACAGGTTATCAGTATATTAGCCAGTTCAAGGCATCAGAACACACAATTGTGACTCCTAAGGAAATGCTTTCTCTTCTCAATATCGCACATTTAGCACCTTATTCCTTGATTTCTTGAGATGTGCCAATATTATTTTCTTTCCTTTTTTTCAATTTCCTTCCTCATTCTTCCTTTACATGCCAACTTTTGACTGCTTCACTTTTTCCCCAAAGAAGTGAAATCAGTCTTCTGTTTATATTTACTGTTATTTTTAGACTTTTCATTTGAGCCAATTTGCTCTGTAGTCTTGGGGGGTATAGAACACTCTAGGAGAGTGTTCTATATCAGGATATAAATGTCGAGGGGAGAATTAAGGAAGAGACAGACAAATGAACAACAAGGTCCACACCAATAAAAGCTGTACTAGTATACTACATCAGTTAAGTGTTCTCAATGGTAGATAAAGACATACCAGTATAGTTAATTTTCTACTAACTTAATAACCTTTCTTCGAGTGAAAACAAGCTATCTCAGTAAAATCAAATTCACTGATGTGGGTGTTCTACTAAGCCTATAATGTCAAGCAGAGATTAAGCTTTTCTATACTCAAGTGATGCAGCAATGCAAGCACAAGAATTACCCTATCTTTATCTAGGTTATGGGAAAAATTTCTGAACTTCTTTCAGTTATGTTACTCAAATACATATTGTATTACTGATAAAGTATTTTATTATATTTATGTGCTATTTCCTATTAAAAAAATGGAAAGGACACAAAAATATCCTTAAAGCTTCATGATATTTTGTCATGTCTCCTGAAATTGTATGAATGATTACTCAAGTCTGTGGCTTTTAGAAAACACCCAAAATTCTACAGAACATTATGGTTCTCCTCAGCCTGAGATTACTTGCATATAACTGGACATATCTTTATTTATTGCAAATCTTTGCAGGTGCAAAGATTGTGCAAATCTTTCACATACCATTTTTCCTTCTGATCTGTTATTGCAGCTTCAATTCCAATTTACTTTTTATAAGACTGTGGTGCCGTGGCTGGCAGCTAAGTACCACACAGCTGCCCACCCTCTCCCCCCTGCCGCAGAGCGATGGGGAAGAAAAGCAAGAAAACTCAGAGGCTGAGCTAAAGATAGCTTAAGCAACAAAAGAAAGAGGAAGAAGAAATGGAGGGATGCAAATGCAATCACTCACCACTTCTCACAAGCAGACCAATGCTCAGCCAGTCGAGCAGTGGTTATCTTCCCTGAAGCCCTCTCACTCATTGTTCATTGCTGAGCATGACATTTTAGGGCAAAGAACACCCCTTTGGTCAGTTTGGGTCAACAGTCCTGGTTGGGTTCCCTCTAAACTTCTCAGGCACCCCCAACATAGTCACATGTGTGTAGGAGTGAGAAAGAGATTGTCTCAAAACTGCACACTCTTCAGCGACAGCTAAAATATTAGTGACAAATCCAGTACACAGCACCATAAGGGCTTCTATAAAGAGAATTAACTGCATTCCAGCCAGACCCAGTACAAAGATTTATATATGACTGCAGAAATTATACAAATCACTTAATAAGTGTGCTAAGAGCTGTGTGAATATAAAGAGGAAAACTCCATCCTCAGTTAAAATAAATTTGTAATTAGCATTATTTTAGACGGACTCTTCAATCCAATCCAGACTATTAAGAAAATGTTCAGAATAAAGAAAATAAGAGTATTATTCTTTGGAAATAATTTTGATATTATGAATAATGTGAATAATGTAGAATTTTTCACCTTGGAGATGATTCCCCCGTCAAGATTCAAAAAGTTTTCTAAACATAATGGTGAAAGAAGGGGAAAATGTGGTATTTATCAATAAGCAGGGTGACACACTGGAGCAGCTAGCTAAATACAAATACTACACACTATGTTTGAGCAGATTTATAAAATAATGCAGTTAAAGAAAATCTGTATTCCTAGACACGAACAAAACCTCTGTTAGAACAGTGGTTAGGTACAGATCTGAGGTCTAATTCTATCAAGCATGCAGCAGAGTTGAAATGCTTTTTAATAAGGCTTTTATAACATGTTTTCTGTCAAGAGATTATGAATAAAAGCATTAAACTCTGCTCTCCCTATCATGCATTGTCCACACGCTTTGCAGTAAGAGAATAACCAAGTTGTCAAGAGTGGAAAAGAAGGTCCTACACAAAGAGCTATACATACAGAACAAGAACACATTATTAGCTCTTCTCTTCTGGTGGGTTCCTCCCCCTTCAGCAGTATGTGGTGTTACAGTCATGCTGGCAAGTAGACCTAACACAAAAGCAGGCTAAAGAGAGTATTCTTGAAAATCACCAGGCCCCTTGATTCTTTTTACTACCTCTGAAGTCAATACAAAACAAATAACACTTGTATTTGACTGGAATCTATTCACGATATTAATCAGAGGCAGCTACTTTTGAAGGTGATGATGACTGAAGTTTTGTAACACAAAATAATAGATGCTTGAGCATTCAGCTTCACTTCAAGGACTGATCAACCATGGATAGAAGATGGCACAGAGGAGAGAGAAGGAAGAAAAAACTCCTGTATTCAATGACAACAACCCATTACAACAAGCTAGTGGTAAAAGAAAAAGATTTTTTGATTGTAATCTTCTGGGCAGAAACCAACAGGGTGGGGTTTTTTGGTTGCTTTGGGTGTTGGGGGTTTTTGTGTGGGTTTATTGGGTTTTTTTAATACTTCCCTCAAAAATCACTAAGACATCATACTGCCTGTCTTTAAAGATAAATTACAAGTATTTTCAACTACTTTCTAACAGGAAAAAGTATTTCTATCACCAATAAAACCTTTGGATGCCTTCTGAGGTTAAGAGCCAAATGTACTAGAGATACCATCTTCCAAGTAATACACATAAAAATAGATTTCTAGGCATTTCATTTGCAAGTGAGATTTAGTTTGGCCATTAATGGCTACATACACTACTCTTGGGAACAAAAAAAAAATCCAAAAGAAAACAGTTTATTGAATGGTATGAAGGGATAAGAATATTAGTTTTGAAGTTTAATCCTCTGAAGTGTTCTACAGTAACCAAAGACAAGAAATGAAGAAGAAACTCCAAAAATATTAATATTAACCACTCAAAAATATATATACTAGAAAGAAGGAGCTGAGAGGGCTACAGCTTTGATAGGGCAAAGTGCATACAACATGGCTACGTAACAATAGTCACTTACCTCTAAGAGTTCTGCATAGTGATCCTGAAAGTTGAGGAAGTTACTGAAATATCAAACTATGCTAAGACTTGTATTTTTACAATTCCACTGAAACCATTACTGAGACTGAGTCATTCAACTTCCTTAGAGATAAATATTCTTCTCTACTAATTTCATTTGCCTTTGTACAAGATCATGTGACTAAATTAGATTACAAGTTGCAGAAAAAAAGAAAGCCCTTTTCAAAAGCATCCAGTGCACTTAGCATTATCACATTTTACGGAGTACACAGTCTACTTACTTTACAGATCATACTGCAAAATTTATTTCATCTTCAATTCTTGCACTCTCTATGTGATTTATATGAAGAAAATGTGATCCTCTGCACTTTGACAGTAACTGTATGATTGATTGCAATATATCCAAACTAGCTTTTTCTATGAACACAAAAGATTAATCAAAACAATCGCTCTCCCTACATCTTGAGAATTTAATTTCTAAAAGGAACATAAAACTGCTGTTCACGATGTGAGCAGTTGCACATGGAAGGCAGATGCAATTACCTGTAACATCAGCTCACAGTCATCTCTTCCAACAAAAATCATTTCTCGTGGCAGCCTATGGCGGGTGCCTCCACTGCTCACCAAAAACCAGGATGTTAAGCTCATTTTCTGCTTAGCTGATAAATCCTTGGCAAAGCTACGTCATCCTGCAGAGAGAAAGAAAGACAGAGAAATTCATTTTAGTTATTTTTAGCTACAGTTCCTGCTCAGCAAACACCGTGAGCAGAATACAAAAAGCCTCTGAAAACACGGCATTCTCAATAGCGTGTACTGAATCCAGCAATCAGGAAGTGACAGGCTCCAGATTTACATAGTCTGAGGCTTCATGCAACTAGGCAAACTTAATCGGAAGTAAGCTTCTTCAAAATGAACAAGCAGCTAGCTAATGCCAAAGTCACATGTTAAGCTGACAGAAAGCTTTTAACATTTGACCACTTCTTATCAAGATAATTGCTACATTAATGCTTCACTATCACACCAATATGCAGATATTTACAAAACACAGCAAGTAACTTCCATGTGTGCCATTACATTTTCCTGCGAAGAAGAACTATCTCATTTGGTTTTAAGCTCAGGTCCTCTGTATAGCACAAAATGAAAGCTTAAATTAAAGTAAGTTTTGCTTCTTTAAATATAAAGTTTGATTTTCTCAATAAGACTTTTATCTTGGAAATTTAACAGTGTACATTTAGAAGTGTAATCAAAGCAGAGCAAAATGAACAATTTAGAAGTTATTTATAAGTAATAAAACTAAAAGCAGTGTTCCCCCAAAACTTTACCTTAATTTTCCAATAAACATGACGTACTTACACAGAAAAAAACCCTACAGCTATTTAAGATGTCATAAAATTAAAAAGAAAACAAAGCCAGAGAACTGAATAAAATCCTTTATGGAAAACTTCTTCAAATAATATGACCTGCTTGACACTGGACAAAGACATGATTAAAAGCACTTGCCAGAGTAACTCAATGTTTGATACTTGGAAAAGCCTTTAGCAAGTATTACAAATGCCTCTAATAGAAAGCAAGCCAAAGCAATAATTCCATTCATTCATTACTGCTCTGTATTCACTAAAAGAGAAGATAAAGAAAATAAAAAGCAATTGGTCTGCATTCCTCTCAGTACCAAATAGCTGGCATTTCTTTTCTCTTTTATTTATATGTCATTTAATGAAAATATGCAAGGGTTGCAAATGTACTGTAAGTAGACATAAGCCTGTAGTAGACTTGAGCATAACAACAAGAACGCAGTGAGATTCTCAAAATCAAGACTAACATGTAAGCACTGAGTAAGGCAGTAATGCCAGTACTGCCCCATTAGGCTAACTACAATCAAGGAAAGGCACCACAAATTATGAAAACTTATAAAGAGGACAGAGTTAGGTCAAAACTGCATCTGAAAATGACAAAATAGACATTTACAAAACAGTAAGTCAAAAGCACACCATGGCAGATGCTAAATGAACCAGTACAGTTGTCAACTCAGTTAAAAAACAATAATGCAAGTCAAATGGAAGAAACAAGAAAGATTTATTGTGCTAAGGTTTTACTTAATAAAAAAGTAAGTACGTACTGCAACAAAGTGTCCTCTTATAAAGTGATACCTACAATAGGATTATCTTTCCACAGCTGTATCACAACATATTCTTGAACAAACTAAAGTTCTGTCCACTTAATGTCCTCCAACTCAATGGAAGAAGTGATACAGCATCTTTATTATACTTTACACTTTATTCATAGAAAATATGAAGATTACAAATTAAATCTACAATAACTTGCTGTAATAAAATTTAAAGACATCTAGTTACCAAATAAGCGTTTTAATAATTAAAACAGTTTATTCAGCACCTTTGAAGAGAGTTAACATTTGTATTTTAATTTAACCTAGTTTAAAACTAGAAGATAAACTAGGTCAATCAAATTACATTTTCACATTCCTTTTAAGAAAGGAAAAGGAAGCATCGAATATGGCTAGCCTAGGTTCCAGCTTTTAACAAGTAAATTAAATCTGTATTTGACAGTAAGCATGCGTTCAATATCAAAGCTCCCCATTGCATTTATATTTTACAGCTTTTTAAATCTCCAATCTGCTTATCATAACAACTCTTACACCATTTGGCCCTCCCACTGTAATTGAAAATTCATATGAAAACCTCCAAGAGGGCATAAAGTATTTGAAAAAGTTCTTTGTGAAATACTATGTTTTAGTTTACATAAATAGACTGCCAATAAAGGAGAAAAACTATTTTTATTTATAAAACAGAGAAGTGGGTCAACAACTACTGAGCTAGAAAAAACACCAACCCCAAACTCCCATGAATTATAAAGTCTGACAACAAACATTAAATTAAGCTATCTGAAACAATTTTATAAAACGTATTATACAGAGCAATCATTGCGACACAGCTTGGCAGCACATTTGTAGTTGAAAGCCCATCACCATTTATATCTAAGATAATAATGTTGTTCTTTTCAAACAGTGCAGTCTCAACCATGACAAATCATCAACCCAGATACATATTTTATTTTAAAGCATTCTTTAGAAGAAACTAATGCCTTTGATCAAAGCTATGCTGAAATTCTGCATAGCAAAATCAGCTGAAGACAGGATAGAGCAGCAACAGCGTCTTAACATCAGAACAAAAAAGTGCATTAAAAATTGTATATAAAACTGCACACTTAGTAGTTATATAGACAGCACATAGACAACTACACTGCACCCAAAAAACTTCATGAAAGCGAACAACATTTTTAATACACTTGTATTAAGAACTCTGGCTGTAGTATTCTGAACAATACAAGGATGCAAGACTGTTCACTGTCTAGGAGATACCAAATTAAATTACTATCTGACAGGTGTAAAATCTTCATCAGAAGCGGCTCTTTGCACACCGTAAATTTAGGTCATGATAATTCTTGCAATGAAGTGTTACAGATACTAAAAGGCTACACTGGGTTCAAAAAGCAATAAGCATTCATGTAAGGAAAAAATATCACGTCTATTAAATGCAATGACCCCACTCAGGAACTGTGTGCACTGTGCATTTTGAGAGGCTGGGAACGTGCTCTAGTGAGGTTTCACTTGGTATTGTCCTAGTTAACAAGCTCTCTTCATACCCAGTCTTTGTTTATGGGCAACAGGAAACTGGCTTAGGTGGACCTGTCTTACTCCCGTACAGACCACACTTTCTAGATGAAGTATTTACCAAAAATATTATTAATATTATTTCTTCCATTGAAAAAATTATTTTTAAATGCTTTATTGAAACATTTTGTTTTATTAGTCTTCCCCAATATGGCAGTACCACGTTGTAATCTTTAAACAAACTAGTAAACATTTCATTATTAAGATCTGATCATTTAAAGCAATACTTTATTCCAGATACCTTGGGAACTGACTTCCAGGTATCTCCTGCAACTGCAAAATGTTTCCTTGCCTGCCGAAGAAGCAGCATTTAAGGACTAGGAATTTCAAAAGGCAGTAACCAGTGTCTAAGAATGAACACATGGGTAATAAGTCATTTGAAACAGACGATGCAGCAACAGGGAAATTGGCTGCACCATCTCTGTAAATATAATTCACTTCTAAGAACTAAAGCCCTGCATTATGTAGCCAAAAGATGGGTGTAACCAATTTCAAATATGTCCAGAGAAACACTGCCAAGATTATAGTTTTGATACAGTAATGTTATTGTAAGCAAAAATCCCTAATAATCTCACATTTCAGCAATCTACAGTCTACATTTCTGCATTTGCCTGTAACTGAAAACAGTCAGCTGTTTTCTCCAAATAAACTGTTAGCAAGTACAACAAATTTTATTTAAGAATATTTTAAAACAACATTAAAAACCCCCTGCATCAAGCTGAGACCAACTTGATGATAATATGCTGCCCGTTATTTGTCCTTATAAGTTCCTGTTTCCAGTTGCTAAAAACTTTGGTAAAATTGTTTACCTTCTCATACAGCTGTCTAGTATATTTGCAGAAGCTTCAGCAGAAATGACTCAAATATTTCGGAAACTAAGTTAGAAGGAAACATTCTATGTTACTACCTTTAAAAAAATTAGAAATAGAACCTCATATATGCAAATTGGTAACTGAAATGTGACAGGAGGCCTTAGTATCAGTTTGTACCTTTTACTATTGTTCCTGTTCAAATCTGTCCAAATGCAGACAAGCAACAGGCTTTTTAAAACTTTGTGTGTTTATTAGTTCAACACATACACAGATAACTACTCTCAACACATCTGTCTACACAGAACATGTTCCACAATTTGCTTTAACTGCCTATTTTTAATGTTATGCTGTTAGTTAAAATAAAAAATAAGGTGTCTTTCCCCAGTAGTCTCAATTCATCCACTGTTGCTGGTGGAGAACAAACATGAGGGTAGAAGACTTGAGAAGGACACAAGACCACCACACTTGGACAAGACACTTTACCTGGAGCTAGGCAGATTCTGTAATGAGGAGTCAAGAAAGGCAAACATCAGGCGTAAGCCATGACAAGGGAGAAATCAGAATTCAGAGAGTAGTAATGGAGCCAGTAATGACCAAAGAAGACCTGAAGTTGAAGCTGATTCCCAAGTCACAAAGAAATGCTGTCAGCAAACAATGCCCACTGAAAAAGTGCCTACCATGACTGCTTTATTGACTGTCCAGTGTAATTAAGGATACTAGTCCCAGTAGTTCTATTTTTGACTGAAACAGAGTAATTTATGCTACAGAAACAAAAGAGCAAAGTGAAGGTAATTCCAACCCTGAGAAGATTACTGAATCAATATAACTGATATTAAAAAGGAATCTATAAAGATAAGTGATTTAAACCTAGGAATTTATAAGTGGAAAACACAGCAATAATATTGCTTACTCTTTAAAACATTCTGAAGTTGGGCAGTATCACAGGAAGTGTTCCATGTGCAATCATAATTAACCTACTTACACACATGCACTAGAAACAACCCTTAACTACACCACCACATAATATTTTAAACAGGACTCTACCTTATTCAGGTTAAAACAAAAAGCTTAACAGTCAATTAATCAGTATTTTTCTCCTCTCCTCAACATTCAATTAGCCTGTGCCTTATTTATTGGGCATCACTAAAAACCTTTTGTGAATTATTAACTTCCTACTGGCTGT